CATTGGCGTCTCTTATATTCTTATGTTAACATGGGTGTTCTTCAAAAATTTATAGTGAGAAGATCTTCAGTGAGAAGATCTTGAAGACAAGCATCTTTGAAAGGCAGTTTGTGTATTTATTTCAATTTTAATTCCACCTTTCCTTCACTGGGCTTTAGGAAGGTCAAAAGACAATATCCAGTCCAATAAGAATGCAAATAGAGATCTTGACAGTACAAATACATCACTTCATCTAATAAACCCTTAACCCTCCACCACACTCCAATTTTCCAAGGAGTCATCCAAAACCAAAACTACCAAGTAACACTGACTTGCACCTCTTTAGAAAGGTCCATAATAAAGCACTTATCTCTTCCAGATAATTCCATAAAATAACCTGCCAGGATAAGAGGGAAGATACAACAAATAGCCAGTTTAGGGAAATGCAATGGGTTCATGTATGGAAAGATTGCAAGTGAAGATTAGTCACGACAGTCCGCTAATACCGAAGAGTATTGGGTTGCACTCAGATCTCAGAGGACAGCAATGAGGTGTCTGCATGAAGCAAGACCATGCCCTGAATATGTCTTAAAATATTATACAATAGAAATGGGTTCCTCTGCACACAAAACACTAAAAAAGAATAACAATAAATAATTATTGTATGGCAGTGTGTAGTATAGCAAGGAGAACCTAAGATTGTCCGGCAGCCAGAAGTTCTAGCTCTTTAGTGTTATGCACCACTAGGTGGTGAGCTAGACGTGTTTTTATGGCATGAGATGTTTCAGAGGCGGTTTGTCGTTGCCAGCTTCTGCATTATGCCCCTGGCATTCCTTAGAGGTCACCCTTCCAAATACTAGCCAGGGCTGACCCGGCTTAGATTCCAAGAACTGATGAGATTTGGCTAGTCTGGGCTATCTAGGTCAAGGTTCCCCAAAAAAGAGCTCCCCCAAAATAGAAAATTTAAGAACTTGTGCTGCAAGTAGTGCTCTCAACAGCAGAACAAAAACCCAGAATTACACACAAATCCAGACTGACCAACAATCATGCCATATGAAACATTTTTGTTTTCTATGGACTAGTTTTAGTTATGTTTGACTAAACAGTTTTGGAAAATGTCTCTGCAGGATATGAAGATCAGCTTTCCAAAGAGCCAACGTGTCAGATAGAACCTGGGAGGCTCAGGTTCAAATCCCTCCTCTGTCATGGAAGCTTGCTGGGAGACCTTGCGCCAGTCACATGGTCTCAGCCTATCCTACGTAACAGGGTAGATATCAGAATAAAACAGAAGGTAGAACAACATATGCCACTTTCCTGTACTCATTAGGGGGGAAAGGTGGAGTGTGAATGAAATAAATTAAAAAAGAAAACAATGTTAACATAGTTTTCAGTGTAAGATTATATTTATTATACAAATTTACTGCATGTTACGATGAGTCTATGGTTTTCTGTTCCACTGGTTGTAGACGACGGCGAATTATTAGCTCTCCTTTACTGTTAAGATAACAATCAGACATCTCCTCTTCAGTTGGAATTCCATGGGGTAACTTTAATGGCTTGATGCTACAGATGTTAAAAAACAGACACACATTTTAATACACACACACACATTCTTCAAAAGGTATTTTTAGGTACTGCTTGCAAGAAGTGTTAACTAACCTTACTAGGTGTTTGATGACCTTCAGTTTTTCATTCACAGAAGGAATGTTTTTGTGCACTACAGGCTCGAACCGCTGTAGATAAATACAGATTTCATAAGATGAGATTCAGTGTCAAACACACTTTTTATATACAAGCACAACCGCTATGCTTAAGTGTTCAAAGCGCTCTTACAAATATAAGATTGATATAACCAAGTAATGCAGTCAATTAAAACTACCCTGTTTAGTAAAAATATTTAATAAAAATACCAAAAATGACGTAAACATTACTGTTTCTTTTAGTATCACAATGCAGATTTCAGTATTATTATTTGGGTTACAATTCAACAAGTTTGCATTTAATTCATTATAAACAAGCTGCCATTAAAAGGTATAGACTGAGATTCCTTAACTGACCTGCTACACAGTGAAATTCTCTTAAAAATGCTGAAGACTTGCAACAAGAGAGAAGCCATCTTAAAGGAAAATTCCACCTAAACTTTCATTTCACTGTACTCTGTCTGCAGGTGTTAGCTACCCCAACCCACCCAGATCCATGGTTACTAGCCAAGGTCATCTCCCAGGTCTGTTAATTAGGTCACAGTTCAGCTGAAAATCTGGTAAGGGAGGGCAGAGTGTGCTCCTGTTCAAAATGTTCCATGGAACAACCCTGCGATAGGCTGGGGAAGGTCAAGAGGTTGCGGCCAGCTTTTTCTATAAAGTATAGCCTATGATGGAAGGGGAACACCCCCCTTTGCATTTCTTGCTTTCCTTGTATGCTCTGGAACACCCTGTTTTAGCTATAAAAAACCCAACATCTCTGGCATAAGAATTGAGTAAGTAGTTAGCTGGTTTAGCTTTGTTATATTTCTGGGCATTTGGCTGCCACTGAACTATATGTAACGTTTTAAAATCTTTTCTTGAATTTCATCAGTAAAGGTTTTTGTTGGGTTGTTTTTTTTTTGCTTTATGGTGTGTGTTGCTGGGGAGTGACCTAAACCAAACCCATGTTAAGCTTGCTTACTGCAACAAGGCAGGCTCAGCCTTGACATCTTGCTATTAGATTTCGCCTCTGCAAAGCCTGGTTGCCAATATGCCACTCTGTCATGCAATGCAGGTCTGAAGAGCATCCCCACAATTCTAAAGCTACTATCTACACACATAGCGTTGCATCTGACTATTTCTGGATTGGGGGCCAGCTGAGATTCACACGTGGGAGAAAAGAATACTAAAGAAAGGAGCTACCATGCACACATGGAAAATTTTCCACTCTGCACCCAAACTCATCGTTCTTGCAGAGGACCTAGTTTGTGATAACATGCAGGAAATTTAAAAGCAAAACTCCTTCACTATTTGCTACTGCCCTCTCTGTCTCTACCTCTCTCTCTCTCTTGCAAGAAAAAAGCACCTCAAAATCCAGCTGTTTCTGAGGCAGACAGCCACCCTTCATCTACTTGTATGGCTGAGTTGGCATGCAGTGTAGAATTCCACTACGATATAGAACCAGCACAGATTTATGGTGTCAGACGCCCTTCATCTACTTGTATGGCTGCAGTGTAGAATTCCACTACGGTGTAGAACCAGCACAGATTTATGGTGTCAGACTAGGATCTGGGAGACCCAGTCTCGAATAACCATTCTGCCATGGAAACAGGTTGGGGTGATCTTGGGCCAGTCACACATGCTCAGCAGGGTTGTTGTGAGGGTAAAACGGAGGAGGAGAAAACAATGTAAGCCAATTTGGTCCCCACTGAGGAAGAGGCTGGGTATAAATAAAGTACATAAATTAATGTTCTGTCCACATGTTCATCAAGCCACTGAACTAATGGTCTTTTCTATGCCTTTTGACTGGCGCTACAGAGGGTGGGTATAAATAAAGTATATAAATTAATGTTCTGTCCACGTGTTCATCAAGCCACTGAACTAATAGTCTTTTCTATGCCTTTTGACTGGCGCTACTGCATTTGCCCTGACCCGGATAGCTCAGGCCAGTCAGATTTCATCAGATCTTGGAAACACAGGGTCAGCCCTGGTCCAAATTCAGAAGGGGTCCCACCAAAGAATACCAGGGACGCGATGGAGACTGGCAATGGCAAAACACCTCTGAACATCTCTTGCCTTTAAAACCCCAGGGGGTTGTCATAAATCAGCTATGACTGGACAGCAAGGGGGGGGGAAGACTGCAGTCGGAAACAGGAACCACCAACATGACAGCTACAATCCAAAAGCATGCACTAGGATGTTATGAAGTCTCCTCTGAGAAACTCAAAACATCCCCTTCTTTGAAAGTGGGAATATTTTAAAGGGAAACTGGAAGAAAATACCAAGAAACCAGCAGCAATAATGGCTTATTAATATGCAAGCTATCTCCACCTTGCTTTTGAACTCAGGGAAAGCTCTGCTGAACTGTAACCCAGGGAAAATATTTCTGATTCTTAGCTTCCAAAATTAAGTTATGTGGGGGGAGAAAGATGGAGAACAAAGGGTTCCTGGAATGCATAGTAGCAGGCAGCAGTAACAAACATCATAAATACAGGGGAGGGATGACTATATGAGAAAGTGCTAAATGAGATTATTGGAGTCGGAAATTATTGGCTGCTCCAACCAATTAGAATGAGTGGCTTGACCCCAGTGATTAGGTCTGATGATGAAAAGTCTCAGCTGTGCCTAGGATTCCTTCCAGGTTGCATGTCACAACTAGCACAATACATGGTTTAAATTGGGAACTTCAAGCCTGAATAACCATGCTTTCAGAACAAAGTTCCTGGGAGGAGGATCGTAACAGGACTCCTACTGGGTGTGTCACAGTCCTCCCTAAAGAGGAGGCTGCTTGTTTCCTTTGTTCTTTCCCGTGTTGTGTTCTGTGGGTGGGTGAAGGGAGATATTAAAGAGTGATGATAATGTCAGCGTGCATGGGTTGATTTCATTCATGGCTGACACTGGAGTGTTCTTGGCTTGCTGCTCCATAGCTGGCTGATGTGAGCAGTGTCACTGTGGATGCTAGTTCAGTCGCCACGCTCTCAACTCTCAGGTATGGATCTTTTTGTAAGTATCTTATAGTTGCTGAAAGAGCATAGGACACCTAGTATCTACTAGCTATGCCAGTGCCATGCTACTGATAAACAGAATTCAGGGCTTAGTATAGGGCTTCCCAACTCCAAACCTATGAATACTTTCTTGGAAATAAATCCAGGCTAAGTTAGTAAGTAGGCCACTAAGCATGGTTCAAACTAGACTTAAAAGACTGACATGCTTTAATGACAAAAGAACAAAAAGTTCTTCAATCCCCCCCCTCCCCCGGAATAGGGCAAGGGGGATGGGAACTGCCAATGGGCCAGTTACCTTTCCCAATCCAAAATACGTTAGCATATCCTTTTCCCAATAAGGACGCCTTCTTCCACTTCTGATCCTACAGATAAGGTGAAGTTTGTGAGGCTGCTCTGGATCGCCACCATATTTTTCATGATCACCAGGTCGTGGCTGAAATACCTGAAATAAATTCAAGAAAGGAAACTTTAAACACATAGTCATTAGTAATCAACAAAATAGCTATCTTAAAACTATTAAGCAGCCATTAAGAATAAGATCTGCATAACAGGTCATAGGGTGGCTAAAAGAACATCATTTTAATTAAAAAGATATTCATCAAAATTTCTTGCCTACAAAACTACAGCAATGACAAATACATCTATCACAATGCTAACAGAGATCTGTAAAAGTTTCATATTTCTCAGAATAGACAGAACTGCCTTCTCTTACAATACAGTCAACTCCTTCCTTCCTTCTTTCCTTCCTGTTGCAGCTGACTTATGGTGACCCCATGCGCAACACAAGAGACATTCAGATAGTTTGCCATAACGTGGCTCTGCATAGCAACCCTGGACTTCCTTGGTGGTCTCCCATCCAAATACGGACCAGGGCTGCTCTGCTTGAGGTGTGGCAAGAGCAGGCTAGCCTGGGATATCCAGGTCAGGTCACAAAATCAAATACACGTTCAAAATTCAGTGTTTACTACTGCTATATTTGGCAGATTAAACAATAAAACAAGAAGCAGAATTCACATTTTCATTTGTAGGTTGGGTGCTTCAATATAAAGCACAAATACCGGACATTTTCATTTATAGTTTAACAAACATGAAAATAAAACAAATGCAAGTTCTCTAACACAAAGCTTACCGATTCAGGAATACGTGATCTTGTAAATTTCTGCCGAATCCAACTGACTGGCTGTACTTTATTTTTTGCCAAACTCTGAAAGGGGTGGGTGGGGGAAATGTATTATTATTTATAAAGCATTTATACCCCCATCTTCCCGCTGGCTTCAATATTCCTAATTTGAGGAAAAGATTAAAGCAATCTGTCTCAAACAGCAACCCTAACAGTAAGCACTAATCTATTTGAAATGGCCTTTTATTCTTTAATAACTACAGTACAGCAACAGAGGGAAAAAATCTAAAGTAAGTCCAGAATTAGCCACACAGATCTGTTTACTGCATTTAGTCCAGTGTAGTGACCTGCACCCAGAAGCAACAATCAATTTATAGAAAGTTGTCAGGTCCGGGTTACAAAATACCTGGAGACTTTGGGGGTGGATCCAGGAGACGGTGGGGTTTGGGGAAGGGCCTCAGCATGGTACAATGCCATAGAGTCCACCCTTCAAAGCAGCCATTTTCTCCAGGGGAGCTGAACTCTGTCAGCTGGAGATCAGTTGTAAAAGCGGGAGATCCCCAGGCCCCACCTGGAGGTTGGCAATCCTAAATTTATAAAATTAGAGCTGCAAAGACCAAAATCACACTCTCTGTTAGAAGTCCCTCTCTCTGAACTCTGGGGGAGGGACATACAGTGCAATCCTAAGAACACTTTCCTGGAGATAAGCCCCACTGAATAGTCCTGAGTCAGATTCCGAATAGACCTGTTTAGGATTGCACTATTATTCACGACCAAGAAAAAAAATACTCAGCAGACACACAGGAGAACACATTACTTTGCAGGACAGAGATCTAGCATTAAACAAAGTCCCGATGCTCAGCCCTGTTTAATAACGTAAAGTCACTACGTGAAGCATTAGTAGAGTGACTCCGGCCAAAACCCAATGAAATGAACACGGTCACTCACTCTACACAGGACCGCGCTGCAACAATAAACGTCGCTGAAGCATACATGTCTGGGCCTGCGCCCAACACCGAACTCATAAATTCGGGACATTTTTCGTTCCCTTCGGCAGCATCTCACCTGCAAAACCCCAGAAGGACTTCCCCACGCACCCCGGCACAGCAAGGCCGCCATCTCTGAAACCCCCCCGCCCCCTCCGGTTAAGTATATGATCCAGCCTTCTACGTATGACGACAGCCTCTTTCGGCTCGCCCAATCACGGCCTGCATTTCTTCCTACTTCCGATGTGTCCGGGGAAGAGAAAGTCTAGGAGTAAGTCGTGTCTACGGTCTGTTCGCTTCTACGGCGGAGGGAAGGTTTCGCTTTCCACTTCCCAGAACCCACGTGATGGGCGGGAGGCGTGGAGTCTGCTGTGTTGATGAGAAGTGGCCCACCTGTCCGGTTGCGGCTAAGCGCCTGGGAGCGCATCGTGATTGCAGGGCCGGAGAGGGTAGAAGCCGCGGAAAGGTCTAATGTTGGCTTCGTTTCCCGGCACAGGATGGAGGAGTCAGCGGTGGTCGTGCTGAAGCGGGCGGTGGAGCTGGACTCGGCGTCTCGGTTCCAGGAATCGTTGGTTTGCTACCAGGAAGGGCTTGATCTCCTCCTACGGGCGTTTAAAGGTGAGGCTTCCTCCTCCACCCTAGCCCGAGTACGGTTCGCTTTTAAAATCCTCCCCTTAGCAAGCGCGCCGGCCGTCCCTGAGACTCCATGAAAACATCCTTCGCATTTGATCGGGCCAAGAATATTCTTACATGTGCTTTCTGTGCAGTATAGCCAGTCAGATGCAATGCTCCCTCTAAGCTGTGGAGTCTTGTGAGCAAACATTCTACTTTGCGAGCTACTGACATTAAACTTGTGAACAAACGATTTGGCTAGTGCATAAACTAGTTTGCTCTGGAGCCATCCTTCCTGAGCCGGAGGCTCAAAATGTGAGCCGGAGGCTAAAAAACTGTGAGGTAGCTCACACTGGCGGGAGATGATCCATGGGGTCGCGAAGAGTCGGACTCGACTGTGCGACTGAACAACAACAAGCTCACACTAACTCAGCTTAGAGGGAACACTGATCAGGTGCCTCTGAGTTCATGAGCAGGCTATGGCTCCAATGCCTGTTCCCATCTTGCGGATGTTTAAATGAAGCACAGTCGTGAGTCTGTAAGGGACCTGTATTATTGAATATTCTCTCACATAAATCATTCTCTCCCCAAAAATGAGTTTGTTGAGGAAAGGCTTAGGCTAAAACATTGCTTCATGGCATTTAGTTTTAAATGTTGAGGGTGTTTTGTGTTTTTTTTTAAATGGAGGAGCATTCAGTTATGTGAGTCTCTGCATGCAGTATGAATTAGTATATATTGGATACAAAAACTTAGTAAGAACATGTAGTAGCCACTGATAGACCTGTTCTCCATGAATATGCTCAAACTTTGTTTCTATCCATCCAAGTTATTGGCCATTATAACATCTTGTAGCAGAGAGTTCTACAAGTAAATTAAGTTGTGTGAAGAAGTACTCTCCTGTTTGGACTCTGCTGTCAATTTCGTATTTATTTATTTATTTATTTATTACATTTATATACCCCGCTCTACCCCTCAAAAATGAGCTCAGGGCAGCTTACAACATAAAATTCGGGAGCGGTGGCGCAGGCAGTAAGAACGCCTGCAAAATAACATCAATGAACAGCTATTTCGGCTGTTCGAAACCCACCGCGGTCGGGGTGAGCGCCCGGCCCACGTCCCAGCTCTCGTCCACCCAGCGGTTCGAAAGCATCATAAATGCAAGTAGATAAAGTAGGTACCTGCCCTAGGTGGCAGGGGGCACCCCTCCTCCTTGTGAGGTAGAGGGTTCGGCGGCGGCGGCAACAATGGCGGCGGAGCAGTTCCTGGCGACCCGGTGGAGCAACGTAGGAGGCAGAGCCCGGAGAAGTGGAGCCTTGGAGAGCATGGTGACGTGCGGCACAGCGCAGCGGAGCCACCTGTGTACAGTAGCCGGAACTGCAGCCAACACAGAGCCATGCGCCAAGACGGGACCTGCCGGAGGAAGCTGCTTGGGAAAGATCGGCTCCAGAAAGGGCACCAGGACGCCAATATCTGAAGCCGCGGAAGGAAGCCGGATGACAACTAGCCCGGGGTGCTGGTAGGCAGTCACCACCCTGTAGACAATGTGGCCCTAGTTAGGTTAATTGGTTGGTTAGAACCACTATGTAAACTGCCCAGAGACCCTTCGGGGTCAGGGCGCTATATAAGTCAAAGGTATAAATAAAAAATAAAATAAATAAAAATAAAAAATCAGCAAACAATAAGAACAATAAATAGCAATAGCAGATCAACCAAATCCATGCATTATAACAGAGAGAAGAAGAAGAGATTGGATTTATACCCCGCCCTTCACTCAGAGTCTCAGAGCGGCTTACAGACTCCTTTCCCTTCCCACAACAGACACCCTGTGAGATAGGCG